CTATCAAGAACTGAAACATCACCTTCAGCCATCCCAAAAATCCCCTCAACGCTTTAGAACCTGTGGGACAGAAACACAATCCCTGTGCCTACTCTCAGCGCAGGACGGTGCAATCAGCACCAGGGTGAGTTTCCAGGGAAGGACACGAGGTTCTCTCGCTGCTCTTGAGCAGCCTGACATATCCTCTGGGAAAGGGCAAAGGTATTTAAGCAGAGATCAGCGCTCTTTCTCCCGTTATCTTCTTTTTCTGCTCCACGTGCCATGCTTCACATCCTCGTAAAGCCCTCTGTGCTAGGGAGTGCAGCAGCATTTGAGGAGAGCGACATCACTCCAGGCTGTGCCTCATGAGGAGCCTGTGGAAGGGGCAGCCAGGCCCACCCAGGCCTGTCCAGCCTTTTCCCTCTTCACTATGACAGACACGCTCACACACACCCCCAAAAGGGGACCCACTTGTGCCCACATCCACAGTGCAACACAGATTCCCTCAACAGCACTGAAAGGGTTATTTACCAAAGCACATTACAAAGATGTAAGCAAAGTATTTCTTATAAAGTTTTGGTTCATGCAGTCACATGGTGTCCTCCTATGTAGAAAAGGTACAGAAAGAAATGTGGTCAATAGGCAGCTGTCACACCCAGGACATTCCCACCTGGGAAGGGTTGAGCCTAGCCTGCTCACATGAGCTTGCCAAGCCCAACACCATAACAATGAGCTAAAAATAAAGATTCTGCTGCAGCAGAGCACAACTTTTCCTACAGTTATGTTGGGCCACTGTTGCATGTGAGCTGCGTAGCTGCAAGGGACAGCAGGCACCAAGCTCTCAGTTTCAGGTTCCCCACAAGCCAGCTGCAGGAGGCTAAACCTGACCTGTCAATGTGGTGCTGCAATTCAGCTCCGTTAGGAAGTTTCTATTCCCAGGAGGCACAGTAAATCATTCTGATGATACTTGGACAACCCAAGAAAAATAAGTTATGCATGCATGCTGCCTGCAAGAAGGGCATGGAGTGTCACAGGAGGACAACAGAAACAGAGGAGATGGTTTGTCAGGGAGAGCGGCCAGAAGGGAGACAGGCAAGCACAAGCTGGGAGAGCCCATCAGCCCTGCGACCGCCCTGCCCTCGCACCATGGAGCCTCGCCCTGTGCCTCTGCCACGGAACAAGATCCCCGTGTAAGGCCTCACCAGTGTGTGTGTCAGGACAGGAACCTGGGCCGTGGGCACAATTCCAGAGCGGGATTCGGCTCGGAATCCCAGGATGGGCTTTGCCCTCTCAGTGCCCAGGCACACGCTTGCTCTGGCCGAACTGCTGCCGACCAGCGCCCGAGCCGCTTGGGTTCCTTTCCTGCGTGTCGAGCCCCAGCCGCTCCGCCCCGCGCGCAGACTTGTGCCCAGCACCACCTCCCCTTGGGAATCCAACCCCCGTATTTTCAGGTTTCCCAGAGGACGCGGTTCAGCCCGGGCGGCCGGCGCTCAGCCGTGACCGTGAGTTGGCTGCGGCAGCTCCGCTCGGCGGCTCGGCCCGGCCGCCCCTGCCCGGGGCCCGACACCGGCCCGGGGGCGTGGCCAGCGCGGGCCGCAGCCAATGGGCGCCGCTGCCGGTGATGTAACGCTCCCCGCCACCTGCCATTGGCCGGCTTGGGCGCCCCGCAGGTCCCGCCCCGCCCCGCCCACCCGGCACCGCCCCGGTCCCGGTCCCGGTCCCGGGGCGCTCGGGAGGGCCTAAGGCCGCTCCCACCGGACCAGGAGCAAGCGGCCGGGACGTGCGGGGCCGGCACAGCCAGCGCAGGCCGTCCTGCCGCTCCAAGACCGTTCCGTGCCCGGGACCGGCGGCGGGGGCACCGTCCCGCCGAAATCTGCTTGTTTGGGTAAACAGGCACCGACACTCCTCGGCTCACAGGCAGCTCGCTCGCCACGGCTCACGGGCCCTCTCTGCACTGCCTGCACAGCCCCACCTCTGCTGCAGCGAGGTCATCACAAACAGTCGATGGCTAGCAAAATATAGTCTATTTTTTTAAAAAGTGAGGCCAGGCCACTGCATTCCCAAGTGCACATCCAAGCACGGTTCTCAGAGCAAAGCGGGAAAGAGTACCTGGGGAGCAGCAGAGCACAGGCAGCACAGTCACTCCGCCCATTCCTCTCCACATTATCACATCTCTTTGCTTCCAGGGTGCCACCTAACCCAGCATTCAGGAGATACTGCCATGATAAAGGATCAAGATTGCATCACCGAGGAGAGGTCAGCACTTCCCTTTTCCACCCCCTCCCTTCGAGGGGTATCAAGTAAGAGCCTGCCCATGTGCTGTGCTGACCAGAAAAACCGGTGCAGATGGAGTCATCACACCTCCCCAGGACAAGGGGCACTTCGCTCCGGGATGCTCAGAAAGTAAAGCTGTTATTCAAATAAATTTCATGCTGGGACAACAGCAGTGGGAGAATTTACTCTGGGGAGCAGATCAGTCCAAACGCTGAAGATGGCAAAGAGAGTCTGATGTCACGCGGTTCAGGGAACAAAAGCCTCTCCACAAGCTCAGGGCTCATCGAGCCACAAATTCACATGTGAAATCCTGAGATACACCAGGATTTCAGTGCAGAGTCACAGCAATGCGTGTTACTCAAGCCCTGTCAGAGAGCAGTTGGTGCAGCCCTCACTGGTGAGCAGCAGCCCCAAGCTCACCCAGATCACCCAACAATGTATTCCGTGTCCCTGACACCCATCCCTCAACCTGTGGGGTGGAGCAGAGCTCGGATCTCTATGGCAGCCTGAAGCCACAAGCCAGTCATTTAGCCACGCTGAAATTTCAAAGAATTTCTTGTGTCTGGGTCCTAATCTGTCTGCAGAGGGGGGAAGTCAAATCCAAAGAAAATACTTGAGCCTCTCAAATCTTACTTGACATGTAGGAGAGCACAGAAAAGCCTGGAAGGAAATTTCTCTTTCTGTGTCAAAACGATCAGTACCAGATAAAACACACTGAAAGGACGACACAAACAAACCAGCTTTGGTCTCCAACATGTGCCAGTTCGGCACAGAGCACAAGATAAAGCACTTCAGGTAAGGAATATATTGTGGAGGGCAGCACCAGAGCTTCACATTGACACCCTCCCCTTGTAACTAATCTGCACAGCCCCACCAGAAAAGGTGCATTCTGACCACACCATGCCAGGGCTTGGCTCATGTTAAACCAAACCATGACAGCTCTCAGCAAGCAAAGGTGAAGAACTGTGGGGAATCCCTGACCTTACTTTGACCTCCAAATTCACACCAGAACAAATGACTCTAACCACCACCAGCGTTTGCCGTGTCTGCAGCGAGGGACAAAGCAGACAAACGCCCGTGCTCAGCACTTGTGCCGCAGCGTTGTCTGTCTGTCAGCACCTGCCAGGGCTGCACAGCCTGCCCAGCCAGGGCAGGGGCACTGCGCCAGCACAGAGCAGCAACCAGTTTGTGCAGACAGACCCCAGTAAGAAAAACAGGACCCAGCAACGAGCAGAAAAAGGGAGAGGTCCCAAACATGATCTAATCTCCTTGTGCCTTCACAGCACACACTGCCAGCACAAGCACCGAGTAGTGGGGGCAAGTAGGACAGGGCAAGAAATGAGCCTGTGTGAGCTGACTGTGCTTTATCCTCACTGCAGAAGCCCAAGCAATCCAAAAGCAAGGTTCAAAAGCTGATAAGCCTCGGCAGCAGGTACTGTCCACGCTCCCCAGCAAGCACCAAGGACTATGCATTCACCATTCCCAGAAGCAAAGATCTACGAAATGCGAGCCACTCCCTGCTCCACAGCAGCAACAGCTGGCCGCGACACCGGCCTGCGGCAGGCGAAGGCAGCACCAGCTGCGCTCCAGCCGGGACGCTTCGGGCCCGAGGAACGGCGGCCCCTCGGCTGGCAAAGGGCCACCCACCTCCCTGCCTCTCGGGAGCGTGACGGACCTCCGGCCCGGGGCCCGACTGACACGGGGACAGGCTGCAGAAGGACCCAGCGGGGCGGGACAAGCGGCTGCCCGAGCCCCGCCCGGCCCGGTCCGATCCGCACTCCCGCCTCGGGAACCGGCCCCCGGCACTGACCTCCTCGCGCCGCTTCTGCCAGCGGCCGCACGGCGACTCTTCCAGGATCTCGGACTCGTCCTCGCTCTCTTCCTCCTCCTCCTCCTCCGGGGGCGCCGCGGAAGTCACCGGCGCAGACACCGAGGTCATCCCCGGGCCAGACGACGCGGGCTCCGGCTTGGGGTCCGAGCCGCTGCTCGGCACCTGCTTGGACTCGCCTTCCGACATGCTACGGTCGCACACCCTGCGGGAGAGGCGCGGCCCGTGAAACGCGGTGGGAGGCCAGGCCGGGCCCACCGGGCCGGACCGGGCCGGGCCGCGCCCGCCGGGCCTGTCAGCCGGGACCGCGCCCCGGGCCTACTGGCAGCGCCCGGCCGAGCCGGTGGTGGGCGCGGTGGGGGGCGAGGGGCGGGGGCCGCACACTTACCGGGCCTGCGGCACCTCCTGGCCCCGAGCGCGTCCCCGCCGCAACCGCCGCGCTGCGTAACGCGCCGGGAGGGGCGGGGCCTCCACGCAGCCAATCAGTGCCCGGAGCGCCGCGTCAGCGCCCGCCAATGGCCGGCGGGCGGGGCCCCGCGAGGAGTCGCAAGGCAGGGGGCGCTCTGCGGACCGGGCCGGGAAGGACCGTGAGGGGGCGGGGCCGACCCGTGTGGCAGCCAATGGGAGCGCGATAAGGAACAGCCAGCGCCGCTGATTGGTTGGTGTTCTCGGCAGAGCGCATATAACGCGCCAGGTGCGCGCGAGCTCCTCACTGGGGAAGGGACAGGTCTGGCACCGGTCCCCGTGAGGCCGCGCGGCTTCAGCCGGTATCGAGTCCCTTGTTCCCCTGAAGGAGCTACAAGGCAGCTTGAAGTCAGCGGCAAGCCGTGTAGGCCGTCCCGAGGCGGAGCGGGCCGCGGTGCCGCTCTGGCTGCCTCTCTATGGTCCGCGCTTCCGGCGACCGCGCTTCCGGCCGCGCGACTTCCGGTCGCCGCCCGCCGGTGCGAGGTCCTGCCGCCCCCGCGCTCCGCCCGCGCCCCCCGGTCCGGTCCGGGCCGGTCGCCGCCGACCGAGGCCGTCGCGGCCGCAATGGGCGCCTACTTATCGCAGCCCAACACGGTGAAGAGCTCCGGGGACGGCGCCGGGCTCGGGCCGCGCCCGCTGCACTTCGGGTTCAGCGCCATGCAGGGATGGCGCGTCTCCATGGAGGTGAGGGGCTGAGGGCACCGGGGCTGGCGGGGCGGCGGCATTCGCCCCCAGCCCTCCTCGGGGTCCTGCGCCGACAGGCCCCGACGGCGAGGGGGTCCAGGAACTGCCGACGGCGAGGGAGGGATTCTGCCTCTACTGGTGCCGCCCCAGCCTTCCCCGAATGCCCTACGGCAACCGCGTGTCCAGGCTCCCACGGGGAGAGACCCCCCGGTTCGCGGGGGCACGTGCGGCTGGAGAAATTCCCGCGAGCAATAAGGAATTCAGGGTAAAAAAGCTGAGGGAAGGAGCGTTTAGTGCTTGGGGCAAAGCGCGGAGTGAAAGCAAGGTGGAATTCCTGAGGGAAAATGTCTGGGTTTCTCTTCTGAAATGAAATGTGAGTGTCTTGCTGTGCTTCTTCCCTGTTTTTATCTATTTCTAGGAAGATTTGTAGGAGGAATTCTGCTGGTTGCTCTCAGTGTCCTGCACCCAGTCCCGGCTTTGCTGGGCTCGGTGTGGGCAGATGAGTTACCCCCAGGCCCACACCTGGTTGAGGATCCAGGCATGTGCCCACATTCCCCCGTGCAGGAGCTGCCCTGTGAAGCTGCTGTTTGCTGTAAGGGCAGAGTGGGGCTGCTGACCCTGCAGGGCTGTGGGCCTCACACCCTCTGGGAGTACCAGTAATGTGCTGGCTTGTTTTCCCTTCTGGGCAGCGAACACACAGCTGAATTCAGGAAGAATTAACCCTGGTTTGTGGAGCCCCCCAGGTCTCACCTCTCAGTGTCTGGTTCGTGGCTCTGTGGCTGCTGGGGGGGGTGTCCTGTTCAGGCTGTCAGGGGTTCGTGAGCCCGTTGTCAGACACTTCACCACTGCTGGAGTGGGGCAGCAGTACAGGTGACAAACCACTGACCAGGTGTTTCCTCCCTTCTGCATGTGAAACCTTGAGCTCTGGTTCTCGGGGTAGAAGGTGCAGAATTGGTTCTTGTGCTCTTGAGAGACACTCAGAGTAGGTGTGTGCTGAGCAGGCTGACAGTGTCCGAGCTGGTCCCTCCCAGTGACCCTGCAGGGGGCAACTGGTGGCACAGGGACATTCCTGGAGCACTGAGATGTAATCTCAGAGGTGATTAGTGCATGTGCAAGCGGCTGAACATGGGTACGGCTCTGGCATCCCTGTGCCTGGAGCTGCAGCGTGTTCAGGAGCCAGCCTGGGACGAGGTTCTGACCTCACTCACTCCAGGGCTGTCACGAGTACCTGTGCAGAGGCTGGACGAGGGCCTGGGCTGCAGTTGTGGGTTCTGCACTACCCAACATCCCTGGCTTATCCCTGCTGGCAGAGGCAGTGCTGAGGCCCTTAGAGTGGTTTAGCTGAGCTGTCCCAAAAAAGAGCAGATGGCAGGAGCTGAACACACACAGCTGAGCAGTCCTGTTTCATTCTCTTGCATTCCAGTGCTCTGTGCTCCACTCTCTGTCATGTCTTGGTTTGTGTTTTTTCCTTTTCTTCACATTTATTTACACTTTTGCTTTTCTACAAGGCTTGCAGAAAGTTATGAGCAAACGTTTGTGCACGAGACTCTGGTTCTGTGTGTCAGTGAAGGCAGCCAGAGTGTGCAGGTGGTAGGGCACAAGCATTTTGGGTGGCATAAACTGTGTAGAGGAGCTTTTTTTGCCTCTTAGGTTTTAGGAACTGCCAAGTGAGGTAGGTATACAGGGCTCTGAAGAAATACTCTAACTTAATCCGGAGAGGTTACTTTGGGATTAAGGAAGTGTTTGGGACAGATGAGGGACTCAAAGGATAACTTAGTTTTAACTCGTTTGCTCATTTCAGTCGGATTGGGTGTTTGATGTTTCAAACACACTGTTTTTCATCAGTACTGCAGTAACCACCAAGGTGGCTGGGGAGACCCAGAATCCCACCTGGCTGGACAGCAGAGAGCTGGCTTTGGGAACTTCTGTGAGCTCTTACTCGCCCTGAAGTGCACGAGGTCACGGTCACTCAGTCACTGCAGTGAGCTGCCCGGGGCTGGAGGCTGGGCTGGAGGCTGGTAACTACCAGCACACATTGGTCTCAGCGCTCAATGGCATTGGCAATGCCAGGGCCTGGCTGTGCCCCACGTGCAGAGCCACCAGCAGCTGTGCTTGGAGTGGGGCAGATGGGCAGGGCCGAGCTCCTGTGCCAAACACGGGGTTCGCTCGGGGCCGGGGCTGCTGCAGGGGGGGTCAGTGAGGGGACAGGGCAGGCTGTAAGGGGGGTCAGTGAGGGGACACGGCAGGGCAGGCTGCAGGGAGGGCTCAGCAAGGGCAGCACAGACCATTTTTGGTGCCAGTGCTGGGTTTCCTACCCAGCAGCATTTGCATTTCTTTAATTACACCACTGTTTGGTCACCTGGGACTCATCCCAGTTACTGTGCTGTGGGTTTGCTGTCTCACTGGCTTCTGTGGATGCTCAGAAAAGTGAGTATGAAAATGCTGGTTCTTGGTTTATCCTTGTTTTCTTTTGTGCTCTCTCCAGTGAGCTCTGGGGAAATTTCCTGCATTACCATTCAGAGTAATTTTTTCATTTTGAACTCAGATTGTCACTTGCCTGTTCAGACACTTTTCATCCCGGTGCCAGCAATCCACTGCACGGAATGCTGCATGAGCCCAGACCCTCTGTGTTCCCATTTCCCTGATCAGGGAATAGAGTTCTCTTTTTACAAGACTGTGGGACTCATGAGGGCGAGGAGCCCTTATCCAAGGAGTCCTTTGTGAAAAACGAGAGGAGTTCAGTGGTTGCTGGGCTGTGATTGAGTGTAGCTCAGCATGTGTGTAACTTTTGAGATATGGAGGGCAGTAAGGACACATTCAGAGATTTAAGCCAGATGTTAGAGTGAGCAGTGTTTTGGGGCAGCTGTAGCACATTTAAGGTGATGAACCATGGCAAAAATCACATTGCTGAACATATCACAGGATGGTTCCTGAACACGAGGGTGTGGGGTGCAGTGAGGTGGTGGGTGAGGGTTGGACTTGAAGGAATGCCATGAGATGAGCTGGGCAAGGGGAAGGCTTAGGAGGAAGGTTCAGCCCATCTGTCTGTTCCAGGCTCTGCATTGAAATAGCCAAGGTGGGATTGCTTACCTGTAGGTGAAGAGGTCAAGCACCTCTTCTGACTGTAAAATCGGGGTGCTGCCTCCCTCAAAGCCAGCTGTTCCAGAGAGACCTTGTGGAGAGAAGAGCTAAGCAATGTGTGTGGCTCATGTGTGGTTGACCTTTTGTGCTGGAGCGTGTCCAGAGATGGTGACGGAGCTGGGGAAGGGTCTGGAGCACAAGCCTGATGAGGAGCTCCTGGGGGGGCTCAGCCTGGAGAAAAGGAGGCTCAGGGGGGACCTTCTCGCTCTCTGCAACTCCCTGACAGGAGGGGGGAACCGGGGGTTGTTGGGCTCTGCTCCCAGGAAACAAGGGATGGGATGAGAGGGAACGGCCTCAAGCTGTGCCAAGGGAGGCTCAGGTTGGATATTGGGAACAATTTCTTCATGGAAAGGTTTGTCTGCCTCTGGCACTGGCTGCCCAGGGCAGTGGTGGAGTCTCCATTCCTGGAGGGATTTAAAAGCCATGTGGATGTGGCACCTGGGGACATGTGACAGCACTGTGGCCTTGGCAGTGCTGGGGGAATGTTGGACTCAGTGGTCTCAGAGGGCTTTTCCAACCCAAACAAATCTGTGGTTCTATGGTTTTCTGTGGGTCTAATGCAATCCTTGTCATTCCAGACCTTTGCTCTCTCTTTCAGGATGCCCACAACTGCATTCCCGAGCTGGACAGTGAAACAGCCATGTTCTCCGTCTACGATGGACATGGAGGTAACTGTGCCCGCTGTGCTCTCTCCTCTCCTTCAGTGTGACCCCTCAGGGCTGTCCGTGCCTGCTGGGGCATCCATCCATCTCTAGGAATCCTGCTCCTTCCTGGGAAGCATTTTCCTTGATAGGGATCATCGGTGGAGGTTCTGAATGTTTCTTAGGGGTCCTAGAAGGAAGGTCAGGGGCTGATCTGAAATTGAAATCAGATTTGCACTCTATCCTCTATGACTTTGACTGTTTTCATGGTGGATAAGCTGAACAGGAGAGTCACAGAAGGAAAGGTGGTAAGAAAAACCACCTGAGATGGGATCAGAGGTCTGAATGTAGGTAGTGTGTTCTGATGGTTGTCACAGGAAAAAGGGAAATCAGAACAGGAAGATCCATTCCCTGCTGTGCCTGCCCAGCTCCCACTCCCCAGGTAAGGGTTCCCTGAGCTGGAAGTTGCAGCCATTCCATCCTGCAGACATGTTGGAGCCTTCTCGATGAACTGTCTCTTCATGAATTTGTTTAATTGCATTTTAAACAGGTTTCTATGTGTGGTGATTGTTTGCATTGTGCATTTTGTATAGAATTATTTGAAAAAGATGTGATTAAATCTGCTGCCTGATAATTTCACTGCAATATCTCTGACACGTATGAGGAATGAGTGAGTAATCACTCTGTAAGCACTTTTCACTTTTACTGTTTTGGACTTCAGGTCCTTTCTTTCAGTCAGAGAAGCCCTGGGCTTGTCTCTGCTCATACAGCTGAATATTGCTATTAAATATTGGTACTAATATTACGGAATTCCTTCTGCCAATATCACATAAAAGCACAAGATCCTGTTGTTAAATCTTACAAATTATTTTAGTTTTGATCATCCTTAGTGATCCATCGCGTTTTAATAAACTCTTTTCCTGATAATTTATGTAGATGTTGGTCAACATATCTTCAAGGAGTTCTCCCAGTGGCCCTCCTCCGTTCTGAAAACTACTGCTGTCCAACCTCACTGCTTTTCCCATGGCAGCAGTATGGGAAACATTTGATGATTTATTTGAAAGCCTTTTGAAAATCTGTATGGAGCAGATGAACTAAACTGCCCGTTTTCTCCTGCTCATTTGCTCTGAAACACACTGGCCAGTTAGTGACCATCCCTGCTCTGTGTGTTTCCCTGAGTATTTAAAAGCCATGTGTATTACAATTTGTCCTGTTTGCTGTGTTCCCGTGCCAGCTCTGCTGCTCTGGAGTGTTGTGAGCCCAGTTCCCCTACTCTGGGGCACTTCAATGTATTTTTGGTGTGGTCTGTCTGCTTCTCGTTTCTCTGATACGAAGCAGATTTCAGTGGAAGGTTACACAGTGTTGTTCATTATTTCCACTTGCCTTTAGACCTGAGATATCCTAAATTGCCAATTCGCAAATTACAGCTTAAGACCTTTTTTTGCAATAGTGTGTACTAAAAAGCTCAGCCTGAGTAGGCTGCTGGCGAGTAGCTCTTCCAAAGATGCTGTCTCAGCTGTAGAATGTATTTAATGCTCTTAAATTATTTTCCTCCTGAACTTTGCCTTAGAGTGTGCAGAGATTTGAGTGGAGCAGTCACTGATATCCTGGAGAGTATCTTTGAGAACATGGGGATGATGGGTTGGTGCTGAGAGGTAGAGTGACTAGGAAACAGGATGTGGGGATTCAGCAGCTACTCACCTCAGTGCAGCAACTCAGAAACTGTGTATGTCAGTCAAAAGTAAAGATAAGGAGCATCTACCATAAACAGGTCAAGAATGAATAGTATCAAACCATCTGTTCTCCTCTGAGCTCAGTATGTTGTTTTTTCAGCTGCCAAGAAGGTCTATTCCACGTGTGGGGTTTTAGAGAGACTGTGGACACTCGTGACATTCCTGTTAGTGCAGGACATGAAGTGGTGTGTTTGGGGATTTTAAATACAACAGGGAACATTCAAGACAGACATTGGGGAAAGGCATGGAATGGCAAAGCACAGGCATGGCTTTCTAACTCATATTTTAGGTTTCTAGTGGTTGAATCTCTACAGCTCTTCCTGGACAAACCTTATCAGGAAAGATATGGATATAGTTGAACCTGACTCTGAAGAACAGCTTTTGCCCATCTCTACTATTGTATGAGTTTATTGATGCATTAGTTATTTAGTTTGAAAATATTTCTCAGGTCTCTCCCATGTAAGAGTTAGGTATTTTTGGTGGGAACCTTGCTAAGCTTTATTAGCTGCCAGTGCAAAAACTGAATTTAGTTCTCTTATATACCTTGCTTATCTCTCAGCATGAAACTCTCCAGTAAGCTTCCTGCTTCGAATGGGTTGGGAAAAGTTTTTATTATTGTGTTATTTGAAAAAAGGGTGGGTTTGAGGGGTTTTTTCCTATTAACTTTTTCCATTTCACTCATCAATTTTTCTCTTACATTTCTCCACTGTGGACAAGACTTCTAGTGTTTGAAAGATGCTGCTGGGTTGGTTTTTTGCCTTCCTCTGCTTCCTTTTTGTGTGCCCTGGCCTCTCTTCCCCCAGATCCTGGAGAATGATATTTGGGCACTCTGCCCCTTCAGTGGGGTTTCTGATCATTCTCTGTCACTATCTCCTTGTGCTTTAGCCTTTTAGCTCTTCCTTTTAATAACTGTCTTCATTGACACTTATCTTTGCATTGCTTGTCTGTCTCGGGCTTTATTTCTCTCTCTTTGCTATTTTCCATTTTGCTATTTTTTAAAATAATTATTGCTATTATTACTGTTTTAACGTCCTCTGAACTCAAGGGTTTCCTCCCTTTTGCCCTTCCAATCCTCTCTGCCGTACCACAAGGAGAGGTGGGCGGGCAAGCGGCCGGGCAGTGCTTAGTTGCCATCTGGGGTTAAACCATGAGAGTCCTTTCTTGGCACCCACTGTGGGTCTGGAAGGGTTGGAGCTAATAACGGATTGAGCAGAGCATGTTAGAGGGGATTTATAGCTGTTAGCAGCTGCAGGTCACCACAGTGGTTCAGCTGTTCCCGCTATCAGTTTACCTGACCCACGCTGTGATCTTTTTTGTGCTGTACCTGCTAAAGGCTGGTGTTGGCTCCTGCCTGTCGCTGGGCTCTGCAGTGATTAGTGGTGTTTGCCTGGGAGATCTGTTATTCAAACACCAACCTTGGGCCTAATCTGGCATTTGGGCTCTGCACTGAGGCCATCGCTGTCCTTCAGGTCCCGTCTCATGGAGACAATGAACAATTATTTACCTTCCTCCAAAAGGTTTTTGTGGAGGAAACACAGAATGGCCAGGGCCTCACCACCCTCACAGGCGAGACTTTCTTCCTAATATCCCATTTAGCCCTCCCCTCTGTCAGTGTGAAGCCATTCACCCTTGTCCTGTCGCTCCAGGCCCTTGTCATAGGTCCTTTCCAGTGTTCCCAGGTCAAACCCAGTCTCTGTTCCCTGGGTCTGTACCATGGAATGCTTTGCAGCGCTGTGTAGCAGCAGCCGTTTGCTGTTTCTGTTCTCTGTCAATGGCCACTTGATCCCTTTTCCACAGGCACATTGGAAAAGTCCCTTGTCTGCTGTTTCTTTCTTTCTCTCAAATCTCCCCACGTCTCCCGTTCCCGCTGTGTTCCCTCTGCCTCTCCCTTTGCTGAGCTGATGGCTGCTGCTGCTTTGCCCTCAACTCCCCTGCTCCCCGTTCCTTCACAGAGCCTTGCTCCTGCCTGCATAACTTCTCATCGTGCCCAGCTGCCTGCACAGCCTCTGTTGGGCTGGGAGAAGAGCAGGGAGTTGGGATATGCAGCGGCTGGTCCATCCTGTGAAAAACCATCTGTGTGAAAACTGTCCTGTAGCCCAAAGGAAAGGAGCACACATGGCTCTGGCTGTACCCATGTCCCCAGGGAAGCCCCAGGTGCAGGGAGGCTCTGGGGTGCTGTGTCCAGCTACCCACACTCCTGCTTCTTTGCCTTGTGACAGGGAACGGCTGGTCCAGCACAGCCTCAAGGATGCCCCTGGACCCTGTGGTGGGACCTGCAGCCTGCCCTGCTCCCCTCCCTCCTGTGCTGTCATTTCATTCGTTTCTCAGTTTCTAGCTCTTAACTTTTGTTTCTCGTGAATGTGAGCCAGGTTCCTGTGTCCTACATCGTTCTTTGCCTCATATAAAAACCTCAATGACTAGTCTGATCTCTTACACTACTCTTTCTGGTCCCCGTTTAAGATAAAATAGAGAAATTCATGATCTCTCACTGTTTACTCTTTCTCCTCTCTTAATAGCACCTCCATGATCACAACAAATGCCTCCATGCCCTGTTCTGTATGTGACACCATTAATTACTGAGCTGTAGAGGGAATTCTGGCTTCTCAGCTACTCTAGGGTGGGCACTTGGCTTGAGTTGTTCCTCAGTCCCAGTTTATCCCTTGTGCTCTTGGCATGGTGCTCCTGCCAGCTACTGTTTGTTGTGCCGTGAACACACACACCCCCCTTCCTGTACCAGGGTGGCTGCCCCACCTCCTGAAAACCATCATCTCAAGCTGTGGGATCCCATTGCTGTTGGTGTGGAACACACACTAGTGCACAGAGCACTTTTTATATGCTCGTTATCTGATAACACTCTGAGAGAGCCTACATTGATCAAAAGCTTCCTTTTTCTTCTGCTTGCACTGACATGTGAATATAGAGGTGTCCAGGTAGCCTGGGCCTAAAGAGTCAAGTCTGAATATCACATTGGGCCTAAGCTCGCTCTTGGTCAGCTCACAGCATTGACCACACCTGGAGCTCACCCATGCCAGGGCCATCAGCATATCCTGCTGCTCTGGGGTGCTGCCCCTGGGAAGGTGTGAGTGGGACCCCCAGAGAAAACTGCTGTGTCACCCTTCTGTGGCTGGGGCAGCTCTGGTTTGTGTCCTGGGATTTGCTTCCAGAGTTCAGTTGCTCAAGAGCATGCTGTGGGAGGATCAGCCTCTTTAAATGGTTTCTGCTCTTTTTCAGGAGAAGAAGTTGCCCTGTACTGCGCCAAGTACCTCCCTGAGATCATCAAAGATCAGAAGGCCTACAAGGAAGGCAAATTGCAAAAGGTAAGGAGCCAATTCTGCCCTGGAATGAGTGAGCACCAACGTGGGGAAAGCCCTTGTGTCAGTACCCAATGCCCTGTGCAGGGAGGCAATGGAGGCTCCATCCTTGGAGCTGTTCAGAATATGTCTGAATATGGTCCTGGGCAATCAGCTGGAGCAGGGGGTTGGATCAGGAGAATCCCAGAGGTCCCTGCCAGCTGCAGCCATGCTGTGATTCTGTGTGGTGTGCATGCTGGAAGAGACAGGATTACACAGCATGGCAGTGCTTCTGTAGGGAAGTGGAGGCTGCCCACTCACGTCTGTTCACATGCAGGCCCTGGAAGATGCGTTCTTGGCCATTGATGCCAAGCTCACCACCGAGGAGGTGATTAAGGAGCTCTCCCAAATGGCCGGGCGGCCCCAGGATGATGAAGATGAGAAAGAGAAAGTTGCTGATGAAGATGATGGTAAGTAAGTCAGCTGCCACCAAGCATGCAAGGCTGCAGCTGCAGGACAAGGACCAAGAGCAGCAGGGCCAGGTCTCCTTTGGCACAAGGTTTTCTGTCCCAGTTTCTCGGTTAAGTTTTGGCTGAGCTGAGCTGCCACACCTCAGCACTATCCATGGCTTTGGACTGGTGCTGGGGGAGTACAGATCCATTTGGGAGCTTAATGCTATGGGTAACAAACCAGCTTGTCACCATTTTCCATAGGCCTTCCTCCACAGGGTGCAGGGTTGCAGGATGTGTCAGGAACTCTGAGCTGGGAAGTGGGCTGAGTTGTGGAAGGGAAATAATGTTGTGTGCAGCACTCTGCTCTCCCAGGCTGGTGGCAGCAGGTAGGACTGAAGTAGATTCTAGTCTCTTCACAAAAAAGCAAGTGTTCCACCAGCAAGTGATTGCCAGTCCCCAGAGCCAGACAGGAGGTGGTTCCTGGGGTGGAATTCTGTGCTGTTCTTGCTGAGTACCTTGTGACCAGTCTTGAGGCAGATGTAAGGCAGTACCGTCACCATGAACACTGTGTTGGTCTGGAAACACTGAGTTAGTTTGTTGAACGTCATTCTCCAGCTGACAGGGATGAAGTAGGTGGTTGGTTGGTTGGTTGGGTTTTCTTTCTTTTTGTCCTGTGTTTTCAGGAGCATTTGGGATGTGGGTATGTGTTTTCCTTTTGGGATTAAATAGCAAAGCAACTGTAACTGTAACTAAGGGGATGTCAGGAGGGAAGTGGTGGTCATTGGCTTATGGTTTAGGGAAGGTCATCCCATTTTCTGCCTAGTCCCACGCGGGAGATGCTGTGGTCACTGCCCAAAGCTATGCTCCCACCTGTTGCACCTGTCCAGGTGACAGCTGGTGGGGATCCCTGCAGTGTTCAGGCCCATGGAGCAACTACTCTCTTCTTGTCCTGCAGCATTACTGACCAAACCCGCTCATGGAAGCGGCGAGTCTGCTTGCCCGCAGCTCCCCAGGAGCCTGTGCTCAGGAAAGCAAGGCTCTACCCCCAGCCATGCAGCTGATGTGAAGGCTCTGTGCTGCTGTCAGTCAGCCAGGGAGCACCGGGGCTGGGCCACTGGGGGGACTGTCGGGCTGTGCCGTGGTCAGAGCTGTGGCCCTGCCATTTCCATCCTGCTCACCTGCAGCACCTGGGATGACATGGGCCTGGCTGTGTGCTCACAGTGAGCCTGGGGAGCACTGCTGGAACTCTGCAGCAGCAGCCTTAGCCAGGGCAGCTCATCACTGGACCCAGCGTGGTGGGTATCCTGCTCTCTGAGCCTCTCTGTCCTCACCTCCTCTCCTATCCATTTGCAGTGGATAATGAGGAAGCTGCTCTTCTGCACGAAGAAGCCACAATGACCATTGAGGAGCTTCTCACACGTTATGGACAAAACTGCACCAAGAACCTCAAAGCCAAGTCCGTAGCTGCAGCTGGGGATAACACTGCGGAGGGGACAGGCAAGCAGCATGATGGGGAGTCAAATATGAATGGAGAGGCTGACCCAGGGGAGCTTCCTGACCACAAGGAGAGGAAGAACGGGAAGCCAGATGAAGAAATCACGGGTATTTCCTCCACCTCAGACAAAGCCAGCGCTGGAGGCAACAGCCCTGCTCTGCAGAAGCCTGAACTAGGCAAAGGTGACGAGGCCGTCACCTCTTCTACTGGGGAGGCCGGGCCCTCCTGCTCCTCCACGGGAAAGCCCCAGCGCACAACCAAATCCAAATTTTTTGAGGACAGTGAGGATGAGTCAGATGAGGTTGAGGAAGAGGAGGAAGACAGTGAGGTAGGAAACAGCACTGGGACAGAGTGGCCTTCTGGCTGGGCAGAATGCATTGCTTATGGTGGTACTTGAGAAGAGCCCCTGGCTCATCCTAGGTGTGTCCTAGGAGCAGGTGTTTCAGACTGATCCTTTGAGGCCATCCCATGGGAATATTTGGGATTGTTGAGCTAACCCTGAAGGACACACACTCTCATCCTGCAGCAGCCATAGCCAACAGCCCTGGGTCCTGCTGCATGCACCATCCCTTCATCCACTGCTGTAGTGACACCAGCTGCTCTGGTTGTAGCCATCAGGTGTGGGGGACATGTGCCAGGTCACCTCACACCTCTGGGGGAACTGACCATCAGTCCCCAGGATGGAGGGACCAGCAGGGGAGAGGGCACTGAGTGTCCTGTGTGAGTCCTGTGGTATCACTCCTTTCTTGTAGGAGTGCAGTGAGGATGAGGATGGTTACAGCAGCGAAGAAGCAGAGAATGAAGATGATGAAGATGACACTGAAGAATTAGAGGAGGATGAGGATGAAGAGGAGGAAATGTTGTTACCAGGCATGGAGGGGAAAGAGGAGGTACACCCTGTTCTTGTGTTCTGCAGCGCAGTGTGGAGCCAGGGGCACTTGGGAGACTCAGTAAGGGGTTGTTCCTGCTCAGGTGGGGATAGAACACCCCATGTGCTCTCCTGGGGGTGAGAGAGCTGCCAACAGCCTGGGTTTATGCAAAGGCTGAGGAATGGGCCTGGATCTGGGCAGAAGGCTGAGGTAGACAAGGCTGATCCTGCTTCTGGGTGTGGGGTATGTGGAAATGCTGTGGGGCTGGTGTGGAGGGAGAGCATGGGGCAGGAACAGACGGGCTCCACTGGCACTGCTGCTCCAGGGCACAGCATCGCTCCTCGCCAGGTCAGGGCTGCGGCTCCTCAGCCCATACAGTGCAGGCAGGTGGGCCAGGAACCCAGAGGTCATGTAAAGGGGACATGGCTTCCAAGGTGGCAATTTCTCCCTTTGGGGAGATAGCTTGGCTTGCAGTGACAATCTGCTTGAGCTGGGCTGGGGCTGGAATCAGCATGTTAGAGCAGGGGATATGGCAGGACATGTGGAACACCAGGCAATCCTGACCCACTGAGCTTCATGAGGCTGAAATGGAGTTGTTACCTGATCCTGACCCTCAGTGAACGCCCTCCTGGTGTTTCACACTCCCTTGGGCTTTCTCCATCACTCTGTGTGTGCTCATGGGGTGAGATGCAGCACCCTAGGGTCTGGGACACAGCTGAGGCTGGCTCCCTTAGTGACCCGACGTGGAGCCATAGAGAAAGGAATCTCACCAAGATCCCGTGTCTCTTGCAGCCCGGCTCGGACAGCGGGACCACCGCTGTCGTGGCGCTGATCCGGGGCAAGCAGCTGATCGTGGCCAACGCCGGGGACTCGCGCTGCGTCGTGTCGGAGGGCGGCAAGGCCGTCGACATGTCGTACGACCACAAGCCAGAGGACGAGGTGGAGCTGGCCAGGATAAAGAACGCTGGCGGCAAGGTCACCATGGACGGGAGGGTGAACGGCGGCCTCAACCTCTCCAGGGCCATCGGTGAGCAGGAGGGGGGATGCTGGCAGGCCTGGCCTCAGACAGCCGTGCTGCCAGCACTGCCACACACTGAGGTTATGGAACAGTTTTTAACCAGATGAGTAGGGCCTGTTCTTTATTTGATGGGAGATTTCAGTCTAATTGGAGAAAATGGCCACGAAGCAGTTGGACACCAGTGGAAAGCAGCACCTAGCACCTCCCAGGCTGTTGTGCCAGTAGCTGGGTTATCAAAGACCAGCTCATGTAAACTGTCCCAAAACCAGACTGCTGCCTTTGGAAACAGGGCTTTTCCTGCTCTCTGTCTGTTGAGGGACCTTGGTGTGTTGCTTCCTGGGGACCTGGCTTCATGGCAGTTTGAACCCACTTGGTCATCTGTACTTCTGCAGAAGGACCCAAACCATTGAAATCATTATCCTAGGGTAAAGAGATAAAAACATCTTTAGGATAGAGACAAGGAGTTTATCTAGGGAGACACTGGCATTCCCACCTGCTATTTTGTGGTGGCCCTGGAAGTCCCTTTGTAGGCTCTAATTCCTGATAAACTGCTAGCTGGAGCTGAGGATCAGTTTTCTCAAGTGAGCTTTGAATCACAGAATGAACCCTGGAATGGTTTGGATGGGATGGAACTTAAAGATCATCTTGTTCCAATCCCCCCTGCCATGGGCAGTGACACCTTGCACTAGACTGGGTTGCTCCAAGCACCATCCAGCCTGGCCCAGAACACTTCCAGGGCTGGGGCAGCCACAGCCTCTCCAGAGGTGACAGGTGCTGTGTGCTGTTGGCCTGGTGTTGCCCCAGGAGGTGGGGAAGCAGCACTCAATTTGGGGTGAAGAGAGGCTGAGCTGGCCAAGGCCCCTCTTCCTTGGGCTAGCCAGAGCTGACACCTGGAACCTGCAGTGGTTCCTTTGCCTCAGGGCCCACAGCCTGATCCCAGGCTGTGGGAGCACTGGCTGGATCCCACTGGGGCCTTGTTGTGGGGCAGTGCTGCTCCCTGTGCAGGGCAGGCAGCACTGCCCGTGCCCAGACATCCTCCTCCCCACCACAGGGGATCACTTCTACAAGCGGAACAAGAACCTCCCTCCAGAAGAGCAGATGATCTCTGCCTTGCCTGACATCAAAGTGCTGACAATAAATGATGACCACGACTTCATGGTCATTGCCTGTGATGGAATCTGGTGAGTGGTGAGGGAGCTGTTGTGCCTCTGGGGTATCGCTTCTCTGGCCTTTCTCTGGAGCTGGGCCTGGCGAAGGCCTGTTGGACACTGGCATGTGTGCTCCCTTTGCCTGCTCTTCTGACCTCTCTGCTCTGCAGGAATGTGATGAGCAGCCAGGAAGTGGTGGATTTCATCCAGTCCAAGATCACTCAAAAGGATGAGAACGGAGTCCTGCGGCCGCTCTCCTCCATCGTAGAAGAGGTAAAATCCGGAGCTCTGCTGTTCCTGCAGCAGCACAGCATTTCTGTGTCCCAGCTCAGGACCTGGCTCTGCCCCCCTGCTCCTTCACATGGGCTCATTCAGCACTCAGGGGGTCTGCAGCTCATGGGCTGCAATGGGCAGGATCAGAAACACCTCTGCAATGAGACCCAGTTCCCTGGGCACCCAGGCCTGTGTCTGACCTCGGGGGTGCTGTCCAGCCGAAGGAGTTGCTGCCCACATTCAGAAACCTGGGGCTGCTGAGGCCATTTCTGTCCCTTCTCTGGTGGGAACAGCATTTAACTCATCCCACACGGCCCTGGCCTGGCAGCACCTGAGCCACTGTCAGGTGTTGGAATGGGCCCAGTGCCTCGGAGTGGTCCCAGTGTGTGTCTGCTCTCTGCTGACTTGCTCTTTCCCTCCCCAGCTGCTGGATCAGTGCTTGGCTCCAGACACCTCAGGAGACGGCACCGGCTGCGATAACATGACCTGCATCATCATCAGCTTCAAACCCCGTAACACACACCCACCTGCTGAGAGCGGGAAGCGGAAACTGGGGGAGGTGGCGGCACCAGTGGAGGAGAACGGCGGGGACAGCACCAAGAAGGCCAAGCTGGAGTAGCGGGGCCTGCCCAGGGACTGGGCTGTGCTCACCAGACTCTCATTTCTTACCCATGCTGAACTCAAGACTCCAAGTCTTGTCCTTTTTTTAGCCTTAGTAGAGGCCTTGTTTGTCCGTGTCCTGGGTGGGGGGTGGGGGGCGGGTCTGGTTAGCGAGGGCATGTCGCACTGTTCATCCGTAACCATTCCAAAGAGGGAGCGAGGACGGAGCTGCGCCCGGGAGCGCCACAGCGCAGAGCCCGTGGTGAGGAGGAGGAGGAGGATGTCCCCCCATTGTCTCCATGTGGTTGTTGCCATTTCTGTGCCTGTGAATTTCTGTTCGGAGGGAAGAACTTTTTCACTGTTGAGGTTTTTTTAATCTGCACCCGATTATTTAAGGCCCTTTTTGTTTTTATTTGTGAAACAATCTGGCGGTGGTGCTGAGGCCACGCCGTGTTCGGTTGTACACTTTCAATCAATACTTTTTTCAAACTAAAAGACTGGAAAACACAGCTATGCTCCTGGTCCTTGGTTCTTTCCTGGAAGGGGACATGAGGAAGGTGGGGTGGGAAGGACATTTGTCCCTGGGGTCTTGGAGCACTGCAGGGCTTTGGCCTGTGGCTCCCGGTTCCCCCAGAATGGCTCTGCTGAGGATTCTCAGAGCAGATACGAGTCTCTGGAGACAGTCTGTGTCTGCTGAAGGAATGGAGGCACCAGTCACTCTGCTGAGCTCACCTGCTCTCAGCAGGCAGCGCCCATCGAGCTGCACCTTCTGACAAGGTGCAGCAAGGGGCACCTCCCTGATGCACAGCTTGTACAAGGTGTGTCGATACCTGTGGCTGCTCCTGCAGGAGTGAAGTCCCTGGGCTGTAAAACACTGATGGAAAGGTGGGCTCTCCCTGTGCAGCAGAAAGAGCCACAGACTCGGCAAACTGCTGGAAAAGAAGAGCATCTGTGGTAAGCTGTTATTTCTTCTTTTCTTTTTTCTTTTACATGCAACTGGCCCCTTGCTGTCTGTTTCCTACACTTGCTCTTCCCCCCAGTCCCTCCTTCCCGCACAGCCCAGAGCAGTCCCACCTGCCCTGGGATCCCACAGGGAGCCACAAGCCCTGTGGGCAGCAGCCTGTTGCTGCTGGGGAGTCTCCCACTGCCCCGCTGGTCCTCAGGGGCTCTGACCATCCTAAGGGCCCTCCCTGCACAGCTCCTGAGATCCTATGCTCCTCCATGTGAGCTGCCATGACAGAATCTGCCAGGCAGTCGTAGCAGAACTCTAGCGTCTGTTCCCTGAGCAGCTGCAGCAGGTTAATGCAAACACCTGCAGCTCTAGGGGCCTTTCATGTGGCACAGGACCCACCACAGGGGGCAAGATTAGATGGGATGTTGGGAAGAAATTGTTCCCTGTGAGGATGGTGAGGCCATTGGCAGTTTGCCCAGAGAAGCTGTGGCTGCCCCATCCCTGGAAGTGTCCACGGCCAGGTTGGACAGGGCTTGGAGCAACCTGGGATAGTGGAAGGTGTCACTGCCCATGGCAGGAGGGCAGAGATGAGTTTTAAGGTCCCTTCCAACCCAAACCCTTCTGTCATTCTGTGACTGCCCAACTTTGAGCAGTAAAATGTCCAGAAGCAGCTTTTTCTCCCCAGGATGCTGCAGTGGAGTCAGAGTAGCCAGAGGCAGGACCCCACTGCCTGAGACTGTGCACCCCATGTGGCCCAGGGTCCCCACCCACAGCCTGTGGCATTACCCCACTGTGCCACAGGAGACAGATGGACTCTTGGAAAGCAGCTTTATTTCCCAGTGGTGCCTCTGGGGACGGGGTGGTTGGGGCTGGCGCAGCAGTGCAGGATGTGGTCCACATCCACCCAGGACCCAGCTCTTGGGGCTGGGAGTGCCCACAGAGGAGCACTGGCTCTGCCACAGGAGGGCATCGGGCTTGTGTGTGGATCGAGGCTCTTCCCCTCAGCCCTCTCACTCCACAGGGACACCCACAGAACTACCCCTGTCACTGGTGGCTCCCAGGGAGTCCCCAGAGAGACTCTGCCCAGACAGGGCGCTGCTCAGGCTCTGCTGCCGGGCAGGATGCGGCACCGCTTCGACCGACACCTCCACCTCGATGGTGACGCCTTCCCTGTGGACAGACACCAGCCTGAGGGCAGCAGCCTGGAGGGGGACATCACCTGTCCCTGTGCAGCACGGTGGGCGCGAGGGCGGCTGTTCCCAAGGGATGTGTCAGCCCCCAGCACGGCCACCCTGCTCACCTGTCGGAGGTGTCCTGGCCCTCGCTCAGCATGCTCCCTGCCAGTGCCACCGTGCTGGCCGACTGGCTGTCCCATGCCAGCCCGGGGCGCTGGCTGCGGCTGCTGCTGGGGAGGGAGGCTGTGGGGTCTGGGGCTCCGTCCTCACCTGGCCTGGGGCTGGGGTTTGGGCTGGGCAGCACCGACCACAGCTCATTCACTGCAGGAGGGAGACAGCGATGAGCACCCTGTTCCCAAGGACTGCTCCCTGCCAGAGCAGGGAGGGCACAGGCCAGGGCCAGGCATGGGACTCACACTTGGCCAGGTTCTCCAGCTCTACCACACCAATGTCTCCAGGTGTGCGGCCACCCCCACAGCCCCAGCGGCTCCGGCACAGCGACAGCACCACGGTCCCGTACACGTAGGTGAGCATCAGGGGCACACCAACACCTGTGGGTGGACAGGTAGTCACTGCCCCAGTGCCCCTGGTCCCAGACATCCCCTGAGGCCACTCCCCAGCCCCACTGCCCAGCACAGGGCAGTGCCCTCAGCCCCAGCCTGCACTCACCCACGGTGATGGCTGTTATGATGGGGGACACAAAGAGAGAGAGAAGGACGCTGCTGGTGACAGAGAGGCACTGCTGGCAGCCTGACAGGCTGCTCCGCCGGCTCTGGCCCAGCACCTGCAGGAGAAGACAGGTGAAGGGCTCTACAAAGACCTCACGGCCTCTTCCCAGCCTGGCAGAGCTCCAGTCACAACCACAGCCACCTGGACACTCCCTCTCCTCAGGGACAGGCAGCCATGAGTGCCCTGCCACCACAGCTCAGGTGTCCTTGCAAACCCCCCCCAGGCCCCCAGACCTCTTTTCCATTTCACCCACCCCAAACCCCACTCCCCAGGCTGAGCACACCCACACTGGGTGATGAGAGGAAGCGGAGGGTCCTGGCAAGGAGGGGTTGTGGCCAGTCAGGGGTGGCACAGGGACATGCTGAGGGGGGTCAGGGGTGGCACAGGGATGTGCTGTGGGCAGTCAGGGGTAGCACAGGGACATACTGAGGGCAGTCAGAGATGTGCTATGGGCAGCGGGGAGCACTGCAGGTCTGTCCTGGCCAGGGGCCATGGGCTGCAAGGCTCAGCAGGGAGCAGGGCCACAGGGACTCCTAGACCTCCTGCCAGTACCTTCCTACCCATGTAGATGGGGATCCCAATGGTAATGACAGGGACAGCAACGCCCGCGACGAGGGAGATGACCATGGGTGCACCCAGCACCATGCCCAGCTGCCACAGGATCCTCCGGGTCCGCGACCACCGCCTCTTCCCCCAGAAAGTACAGCCAGAGGGGCTGTGGGGACAGAGCAGGGCTGGGCCAAGGCAGAGACCAGCACAGCCCAACCCTGTGCTGGGGGACACCCATGGGCCCACTGGGGAGCAGACAGCCAGGTTCCCCCAACCCTGAGCTCCAGCTGCCTCCTGGGAATGCCAACAGCTGGCTCCAGCCCTGCCAGACCGAATGGCACAGACCACGCCACTCCCCCCAGCCAGCCCCAAACCTGGAGCCAGGCCTGGCTGCCCCCATCCCAGCCCCCAAGCTCCTGTCAGGGCCCCTGCCTGGGGCAGCCCCCGTGGCCCCACGCTGACCTCAGGAAGTGCACGTCGGAGATCTCCCGCAGGCAGAGCCAGCAGAAGAGGCACCCGCAGACCGTGCAGTTCATGCGGTTGCAGCTCCCGTCGTTGATCTTCATGATGAAGGCGCTGCAGCGCGGACAGAGCTTGATGTCCTCAGCCTCAGCTGGGGGGAGATGAGACAGGATGGGGGAGCAGGATGGGACACACCCTGTCCCAGGCTCCCCAAGTCCCACAAGTGCCAGAGTGCCACACCCCAGCCCGACTGGCACAGGGGCTACAAGCCTGAGGCAGCCAGCAGCCCCGGCTCCAGCAGACCCGCAGGCAGGAGGCACAGAGGCACCCCAGTGTGCCAGACCCCAGCCCTGCTGCTCCCATCCTGTGCCAGGGCCTCACCGTGGGCTGAGTCCTCAGGTTGGGCCAACTGTGTTGTGGGGGTGGCCAGTGGTGCTGGCACACAGGGGCCATCGGGGTGCCAGGGCTGCCGGCAGTGGTAGCAGAACTCGGTGCCACAGCCCTCGCGCCCACAGGTGAGGCGGGGACACTCGGCACAGCCGTGGGCGAGGACAGCGTAGCTGTGGGGAGAAGGCAGTCAGAGCTGGCACAGCCAGGCTGGGCAGCGGCAGGTCCCAGCCCCGTGCTGAGCTTGAGCCGCAGCCCCGGCTCAGGGGCTCACCAGGGCCCTCACCAGCACAGACTGCGGCGCAGCCCGCCCGGTCCAGCACCCACAGCCCTGTGGTTCACGAGCTGCCCGACGCAGCCAAGGGCACCAGCCCTGGCAGACAGGCTCTGGGGCCGGACAGGGACCGGACACATCCCTGCGCAGCCCAGCCCCACGCGGGACCGAGTGACAAGGGACCGAGCCTGGGAAGGGCTCACGGGACGCCGATGCCGCGGGCAGGGGGCCCACGCCACCCCTCCGCTGCCGCCCCCTCGCCGGGCCCGGCGGTACCTGCAGTCGGGCGCGGGGCACCACCGGGTGCCCGGGTCGGCCACCAGCAGCCGCCGCAGCAGGAACTCCTCGTACTTGTCGCGGAGGGCGGGCTCGGGCAGCAGCCGGCGCACGTCGGCGGCGGGGAGCGCGGCGGGGCAGTGCGGGCACGACACCAGCACGCGGCTCTCGCTGACGGCCAGGCGCAGGTACTGCTCCAGGCAGGCCCGGCACGAGCGGTGGGCGCAGCAGGCCAGCGTGGGAAAGGCCTCGGGGGGCTGGGGCAGCAGGCACAGAGGACACTCCTCCAGCACCCGGCCCTCGCC